ATCGAGAATAACGTGTAGGGAGAACTGAGCGAAGATTGTATGTAAGAAAGGGGGGAAATTACATAGTACACACGTACAGACAAAAAAAAAGAGCTACACTAAAACAACAACAAAACACCAACTACAACAGAACAAGAAAAAAACACCAACTACAGCTACAACAAGAACAACAACAAAACACCAACTACAACAAGAACAACAAAACGACAACAACAACAACAAAACACCAAGTACAACAACAACAAAACACCACCAACAACAAAAAACCAACAACACCAAAACACCAACTACACCAAGAACAACAACAACGAGAGAGGGAGTGCGCTGAAGATGCTAACACCGAGGGAGCGCGACCTCGACTCACCGCAGACTCGCTCGTCAGTGTCCGTGTCTCCGTCGTTGACACCGCCTCTTCGCCCATCGCTCATGCGCCGTGTACGCTGGTTGTTGTGGTCACGCATGTACACACAGCGGTGGCGAGTACACGCACACGGCGGGTTGACAAGATGAATGTGCACACGCATGAGTTCACACAAGTTTAGGCAGGTTTATGGTTCTATATACAAGCTTGTAAATGGGAAAATAAATACTAATTTATATATAGACATGCATGCGCGCGCATGCGCACACACACACACCACAGCACACGCACACGCACACGCACACACACACACAACACACACACACACACACACACACACACACACACACACACACACACACACACACACACACACACACACAACACACACACACACACACACCACAACCAACACACACACACACACACTCACGCACGGGATAAAGGACGATAAAGCACAAAGCATTTAAGTCCGGTTTGCGACCGCCTCCGCTGCACATCTCCGGCGCTTCATCAAGGCCAGAGAAGGGCACGGCCTATGGGGGGGGGGGACTGGGGGGAGGGGTAGATGTTATTTGTTCACGTTGTTATTGTTATTGTTGATTTTGTTGTTATTCTGTGGTGTTGGTATGGGTGGGGTGGGGGGTGGGGGACTGGGGGGGAGGGGTAGATGTTATTTGTTCACGTTGTTATTGGTATTGTTGATTTTGGTTGTTATTCTTCGGTGTTGCTATGGTTGTTGTCCTTGTAGTTGATCTTGTTTTTGTTTTGATTCTTCTTCTTATTATTGTTGTCATTATTGTTATGATTATTGTTATTATTACTTTTATTAGTAGTAGTAGAATTGTCATTATTATCTACCGGGTATTCGCAGTTTCCCAAATCCTCTAATTATTATTTTTTTATTCTTTGCCTGTGTCTTCAGTTTCTATTGTGTATAATTGTTTTCCTTTATTATCATATAATCATTCTATACACAGGCTGCTAAAGAGATTAGCACACGTGCCTATTAAATCAACATATAAATACATAAATAGGCAATAAATGATAAGAAAGAAGCTAAATATAAGACAAAATCAGTGATGATGATGATAGGAACAATAAATAATCAGAACGCAGATAAGTGTGGCCTTGAGATGCTCCTCCGGAAGGATATCCTGTAAGAAAGGAAGAATGGAATAATGGTAATGATAATAATTATGGGATGTTGAGAGTGTTAATAAAGAGAGATCAAAATTTAGAGGAAATATTAGCTCATCAATGTATGCATTTTCTTTTTTGTGTTATTATTATTATTATTACAATTTAGTTCCTCACCGGCACCATTTTTTATCTATTTTTGTACAAGTTTTAATCTATTTGTACAGGTTTAATCTATTTTGTACAAGTTTTAATCTATTTTGTACAGGTTTTAATGTATTTTGTACAAGTTTTAATATATTTGTACAGGTTTTTATCTATTTTGTACAAGTTTTTGTATTATTCTGATAATTCACATTCTGCAATCGGGTTCGTTCTGCGACACGGGTTTCCGCAAGAACCACGTCACCATAACGTAAACACCGCCTTTGTAACCCTCGTGTAATTTTCCGAGCGAAGATGAGCGTGTGTGAGTGGATTATTTACGTTCATGGGTGTGCGGTTGTACTGACAGACGTTTGTATAAATTTGCCGTTTTTTCTGTTTTGGGCGGCGTCTTTCTCGATGTATCTATGTATCTATGTATCCATGAATGTATGATTGTATGATTGTATGATAGTATATAATATAATATATATATATATACATAATATACATATATATATATATATACATACATATATACACATACATACATACATACATACATACATACATACATACATACATACATACATACATACATACATACATACATACATACATACATACATACATACATACATACATACATATATATATATATATATATATATATATATATATATATATATATATATATATATATATACTTCCACGAATTCACTTTTTTTGGACGTTCGTCCTTGATGCTGAAGGCTCCATACTTTAATCTGTCTCCAAGGTTATCTTTTAAGAAAACATTTATAGCTTCTACAGCCAACTCTTAACTAAATTTTCAGAAAGAAAATGTTAAAAAAA